AGTGAGACAAGTCAAGCTGATAACAAAGCTAAACCAACATGCTTCCAGAGCCCCAGCAATTAAGCGCATGAGAATAGCACCTATACCCATCCTAACCATGACTCAAATCCAGAAGCAATGAAAGAAGAAATTGATAAACTGGACTACCTGAAAATAAAATACCATAAGCAAAGTCATCAATACCAATATGGGTACACATCATGAATTGCCCCACTACTAATCAATTAAACCTGCCCTCTGAAAGGAGGCCAATGGTTCCCAACTGCTTTTTCCTGAACCTCCCTAGTAACCACCCCACCTGGGTTCTCTCCTCCCTTGGCTCCAGTGATCCTCTTTCCCCCTTTCCTGGGTGTCCTCAGTATTATTCTTCAGCTACACTTCTTCTTCCTAGCCCCTAATGTGACCGTCCCCAAAAGTTCAGAATTACACCTTCTGCTCATTTCTCTCTAGATTCCTTCCTTTAGGGACCCTAACTATCCCAAAGTCTGCTGTTCTGACCTCCCTCCTTAACTGCAGTCCTTTGACTAACTGCTAAAGACACATTTACATGAGGAATTACATGGAAGAATGAATAAACTAATATACATGGATGATCTCTACCAACAGTGTCTCCACCTGCATAGCATTTTCACAGTCCCCACTTTCCAGAACAGTCTTTTCTCTGCTGTTGCACACATGGAAAAATTCTACCCATACTTCAGAAGACTCAGCTTAAATTCCACCTTCACTAAGAAACTTTATCAGGTAGCCCCATTCCTATATGACCCCTTACTCATTAGTCTTAAAGCGCCAGTTGTGTCAAGAAAACTATTATCTTTATACCTATATCACCTGACTCAAAACCAGGCTCTACACCAAAGCAGGGACATTGCCAAAAATAAACAAACAAATAAATAAATAAATAATTTTTACAAACAGGCTCTAGCACAAACTAGCTGCACTACTCTGGGAAAACACCTAAGACTTTCTAAGGCTTTGTTTTTTCATCTAAAATGAGGTAATAATACCTCTCTTAGAGGATTTGGGGAGGATTAAAGGAAAGTAAACCATCTAAAACATAGTATTATAGGTTAACTATGAAATGTCCAATTTCAAACCAAAAGTGTAGTTTATTATATCTCAAACAAGAAGCAGTACAATTAATCAAAGTATGTACCTAAACTATCAACACAGTTTTGCGATCTTCACAGTAGCTTGTTTATGCCAGCAGCAAAGAAGCCTGGAGAGCGAGTGGCAATGAAATCATGAAATCGTGAAAGGCGTTTTCCACAGCTTGTTGAGAATTGAATATTTTTCCTTGCAAGAAGTGGTCCAAAGCCTGGAAGAAGTGGTAGTCAGTTGGTGCAAGGTCTGGTGAATATAGTGGATGGCAGAGTTTCCAAAACCAGCTTTGAGCAGCATTGTTTGTGTGATGTGTGGTTGAGCGTTGTCTTGCAAGAGGATTGGCCTGTCTCTATTGACCAATCTCAGCTGCTTAACCACAAGCATCGTCATCATTTCATCCAATTAGTTGCAGCAGACATCTGCTGTAATCAATTGACCAGGTTTCATGAAGCTGTAGTGGATAATACCAGTGCTAGACCACCAGACACCATTAGCTTTTTTTGATGAATATTTGGTTTGGGGCTGTGTTTCAGCACTTCATCTTTAATCCAACCATTGTGCCAAATGCTTGTGATTGTCAAAAAGAATCCATTTTTCATCACATGTAGAAATAGTTCACCTTTATGTCATGACAGCAAAGAAAGGCAAGCTTCCAGACGATGTCTCTTCTGACGCTCGTTTAATTCATGCAGAACTAATCTATCCAGCTTCTTCACCTTGCCAATTTGTTTCAAATGATCCAATATTGTTGGAATAGTAACATCAAACCTTGCTGCTAATTCATGCATAGGTTGAAATGGATTCGCTTCCACTGTAGCTTTCAGCTCATCATCATTCACCCTGGTCTCAGGTCGCCCATTGGCTCATTTTCAAGAACAAAATCACCAGAATGGAACTTCTCAAACCATCAACATACTGTGCGTTCATCAGGCACATCCTTCCCAAATCCTTCTTTGATATTTCGAGCTGTCTATGCTGCATTTGTTCCACGACAGAACTCATTAGAAAATAACATGAGTTTTTGACTTATCTGTGGTTTCACAAAAATTGCTCTAAAATTTTTTTGAAAAATAATCACAAGCCAAACTATGCATTTGAAAGACTGAGGATGTGCCTTCACAATAAACATAAAACAAGAAGTGTCAAGGTGAAATGTCAGAGATATCAACTGTCAAAATTAGTACTTAAGGGAATCGGACATTTCATACTTAATAACCTAATAGCTGTTCAGGAAACGTTAACTCCTTCTCCCCACACCCCTAACCCCTGGGATCATTTACCATTTACACAGCACTTGACAGTATATGTCATGTCTCCTCAATTAGATTTTAATGACTAGTAATATCCTTAAGGACAGGAGCTGAATCTCTTTCACCTTTCTATGTTTTAAACACCTACCAATGTGCTTTACATGGAGACACAATAAAAATTGAGAACAATAACATTACAGTTACAGTGGATTACAGCAGTCAAGTGTAAATGGTGCCAAGATTGGAATCATAAATTTTCGTCTAATTTAGCTGTAGAATTATTACATGGCATCTCTGTAATTTCACTCATGCCAAAGGCTGATTTCAACAAATGACAGTACAAATAAAGACAAATCAATTTCTTGAGTATACAAGTTTATAAGCAATCTTTGGTAATAGCATTAAAAGTAGCTTAATATAAATGTTGCAGTATTAGAAGGCCTTCCATACCTGTATTTATTCCTATGTATTTTTATGCAAAGATTTTCTTTCACATATTCTTTGGCTTAATATAATTGTAACAGAGCTCCCTTTATACCACTTGTTAACTAACTAAAACTAGATTGAGACTTTTATAATTTCCACTGGGGGAAAAACTTAAAAACTAATACTAAAGGAAAACTGGTAAGATAAAGATCCAAAACTTATGATAATTATGGGTAAAATCAATCAAAATCTCTCTTTAATTAAACTTTTTCTTTCCAAATAGCTTTCAGTAGTTAACATCAAGGCTTCATTCAACATCCTCTCTGAAGTTACCGGAATCTTTTTTTTTCTATCCTGATTTATCATAGCCTTCCTTTACTGTGTGTTATCTTCATCAAGAATCAATTCCCATAGTTGAGTTTCTTTTTTCTTTTAACTACTGCCCTACTTACATGTGCTAACAAGTTGAAAGAGCTGCAATTTGTTGGGTAGTAACCTCCACTCCAACAATCAACATTTGAAGAATGCTCCCAACCACATTCCCTTTCCCTGCAGAAACTATTTTTTGTAGTTTTCATAAACTGGAATGTGCAGCTATACACTTAATTTGAAAATGCTATTACTAATGGAAGAGTGTATGCCACATCCCTACTCTTTCAATATTTTCATGCTTCCAAGTTCTTTTTGTTTTATTTTTCTTTTCCCATTTGGAAAAGTTTATGTAGAGAATTAGAGCATTCAGTTCTATCAGATCAAATCCACCACAGCACAAAATTGGTATAGCAGGAAAAAACCAAGATGTTAAAAGACTGAGCTTCTAATTACAGTTCAACAACCTATTATACATCTTTAGGAAAATCATAATCTCTCTCACCTTTGACTTCCTCTTCTATAAATTAGAGATAATAACCACAATCTCAGCAGTTTGTTTCAGATATTTTTAAATCACGTTATCACAAACAGCACTACATAATTATAAAACATGTGTGAATATACAAATATATATTTTTTGAACAGCAATGTCATCACCTATGAGTAGATATAAAATAATCGTATCCCATATATTAAATTCCCAATTAAATATTCACTAGACAAACTGTTATACCAAATTCTATGCACAGTATATCCAAGAAAATGTGGGTTTTGGGTTTTTGGGTGGTTTTTTTGTTCCCCCCAGAAACAGAACCTAGCTTGGGAACATATGTGCACAGTCTAGTTTATAATTTTTGGAGCAAGTATCATTCTCTAGAATGAATTTATGTTCTTGCAAGCAAATTTTTACTCACAATCATAACATACCCAAATTCTTCCCTTTTAGTTAATAAGAACTTAGTGTAAAGTTCTGGAGGTTCGTTCTTCAGACTTTGTATTAAGAATTTCTGCATATGGTCTTCACATAAACCTTAACTACAATGAGTTTAAAAGTGAAAATAATCCAAGATAACTTTATGATTTCAGACTCTTTGATGTTAAAAATAATACCAACATTAAATTAGAACATTCTTAATCATTATTCACTTTCAGTTTTCTAGGCAAAATATCAGTATATTTTCATTCTCCAGATAAATTAAAGATTCCCTACACACACACACACACATACGTAGACCATGTCCTAAATTGTGCTTTTGTGACTTTAACTTTTTATATGTGGCAACTTTTGAACACTAAGTTTTTAGCATATGTATTTTATCTTCTTTTTGGTTGCCTACAGTTTTCTACAAGATCCTTAATATAGCATGATTTTGACAGAATTTATGCTATTTGCTGTTTCAATTAATTAAAACTGTTTAAAACATGAAGTTGAAATATCTTAACTATAAATTCGTAGCTAAAACGTTTTTCCCCAAAACTCTGCAAACATTCTGTGCAATCTGAATTAATGCTGAGAAAAATTAATTTTAACAGTTGCTCAATGTTCTTCAAAAGGTGAAAAGCATACTAAAACATGCTCATTTGAACTCCGCCCATTTTCAATTTCAACATAGCAAAACTTCTGTTTGTTCTTTGGGCAAATTCAAAACTGTACACATTGGGATTGGTTATTACTGAAGATAATTTATGCGATCATAAGCCAAAGATGCTAAGTTGGCAAAAAGAAAACCATCCAAGTAAGCAAACCCTAACACACGTGGGAAACACCCTCTTGGTAAAGCTGACAATGTATATAAAGGCTTGTTACTGTCCTTGGTAGCAGCACTCCCTGGGCTAAACAGCATCACCATGTCTGTTCGATACAGCACAACCAAGCAATACTCTTCCTCCCGCAGCGGAGGAGGAGGAGGAGGAGGATCATCCCACAGAATTTCGAGCAGCAAAGGCTCCCTTGGTGGAGGATTTAGCTCAGGGGGGTTCAGTGGTGGCTCTTTCAGCCGTGGGAGCTCTAGTGGGGGGTGCTTTGTGGGCTCAAGTGGCTATGGAGGATTAGGAGGAGGTTTCGGTGGAGGTAGCTTTGGTGGAGGCTATGGAAGCAGCAGCTGTGGTGGGGGCTATGGAGGTGGGGGCTATGGAGGAGGCAGCTTTGGAGGAGGCAGCTTTGGAGGTGGCAGCTTTGGAGGCGGCAGCTTTGGAGGTGGCTTTGGTGGAGGTAGCTTTGGAGGAGGTTATGGTGGTGGATTTGGCGGAGATGGTGGCCTTCTCTCTGGAAATGAAAAAGTAACTATGCAGAATCTGAATGACCGCCTGGCCTCCTACTTGGACAAAGTTCGGATTCTGGAACAATCAAACTATGAGCTGGAAAGCAAAATCAAGGAGTGGTACGAAAAGAATAGTAACTCAGGCCAGGGAGAGTCTCGTGACTACAGCAAATACTACCAAACCATTGACGACCTTAAGAATCAGGTAAGGGGCATTTTTAAACGCAGCTTTAAATATATTTCTTATCCATGTAATCCAGATAGATGAATCTATCTGCGCACAGTGTATCTGTTTGCTATGTTTACCTCTGTTACTTTCTTGCTTCCAGAAATAATCTAATCTCATCAAAGGTAAATATTTGTGAAGGTATGGTCATGGCAATCTTCACCCAGCATGTGTGTTGCTTATCTTATAGGATGGCAGATTACTGATAACTTTTCAGGTTTTAATTAGCATATAATGAGTCCACAGTTAAAATATGCTAGATCAGGCCGGGTGTGGTGGCTCACGCCTGTAATCCTAGCACTCTGGGAGGCCAAGGCAGGTGGATCGCTCCAGGTCAGGAGTTCGAGACCAGCCTGAGCAAGAGCAAGACCCCATCTCTACTAAAAATACAAGGAAATTATCTGGACAACTAAATAGATATATAGAAAAAATTAGCTGGGCATGGTGGCACATGCCTGTAGTCCCAGCTACTCGGGAGGCTGAGGCAGGAGGATCGCTTGAGCCCAGGAGTTTGAGGTTGCTGTGAGCTAGGCTGACGCCACGGCACTCTAGCCAGGGCAAAAAGCCAGACTCGGTCTCAAATAAAAAAAAAAAAAAAAAAAAAATATGCTAGATCATTTACAAATGTAGGAACTGAAAAAATTATAAATGAATCAGAACAAAATATTATTCGGACTGGTAACAAATAAGCTATTCGGTACCAACATTGCAAGAAACATGAATTCTCCAGTATGAAAAATGGGATGCTCGCCTCTAGGGAATTTGTGAATTGCACCTATTGTGTACCAGCTCAAGGTACATTTACTTATACATACATTTAACAAGTTAAATAAATACAAGTGTGAGTCGGTCAAGCGCTAGCTGAAATACATGGAAATCACACAGTATAAAAGAGGGGAATACACTCTTTCAGGAATACATCTATATAATTCCAGTTAGTTTTTGGAAAGGGATGACACAGAAATAGGAGAGTAGAGAAACTTCAAGAGAACAAAGAATTCAAATTTAAGTATATGGGTAAGCATGCAATATTTCATATTTAAAATAAAAAATTTTCATAAGATTTTGTAACAGAACAACATAAAAACGCAGTGTATGTATATACATATATATACACCACTATAAAAGCTATATCTGCATCTGACCTCTTTTAAAATAACTGTGCCTCTCCCTCCAGATCCTCAACCTAACAACTGACAATGCCAATGTCCTGCTTCAGATCGACAATGCCAGGCTGGCAGCTGATGACTTCAGGCTGAAGTAAGCTAAGGGAATGTGGTATAACACCATCACAAAAAATACATCAGTTGTTTTTAAGAATGACTTTGGATCCCACAATAGCATTTAAATTTTCTTGAATTCATCCAAAGTTAAACAGTATTGGAGTTGTCTGAGAAATTTTCAATTTCAATATTACCTTTATGGCAATATTAAAGGAAGAAAATGCATTTTAAACTAATTGCTAAGCTTCTTTGCATTAAACCACTAATATTCCTAAGTGAATCCGTATATGATAAAAGTCGCCGTGATATGCAATCAGCTCTATATTTGCTTTTTAAACAGTCTCTTCCCAGTTTCACCTCCCCTGTATAAGCTATATCGTATCTGTATCATGCTTTTTTCAGGTATGAGAATGAGGTAGCCCTGCGCCAGAGCGTGGAGGCCGACATCAATGGCCTGCGCAGAGTGCTGGATGAGCTGACCCTGACCAAGGCTGACCTGGAGATGCAGATCGAGAGCCTGACTGAAGAGCTGGCCTACCTGAAGAAGAACCATGAGGAGGTGACACAGAAGTTATACCTTCCCCAGCCAAAAAAGAGTTTGTTGTGGTCATGGTGTAGTCATTAAATCTTTCTGTTCCTTAAACAGGAAATGAAAGACCTTCGAAACGTCTCCACTGGTGATGTGAATGTTGAAATGAATGCTGCCCCAGGTGTTGATCTGACTGAACTTCTGAATAACATGAGAAGCCAATATGAACAACTTGCTGAACAAAATCGCAAAGATGCTGAAGCCTGGTTCAATGAAAAGGTAAGTTCATCTTCCTTCATAATGAAGCTCATGGACGTTTTGTTATCATTTCAGAATTTTCTCATCTTTTTTCCTTATTTTTAATACTCTAGAGCAAGGAATTGACTACAGAAATTGATAATAACATTGAACAAATGTCCAGCTATAAATCTGAGATCACTGAATTGAGACGTAATGTTCAAGCTCTGGAGATAGAACTACAATCCCAACTGGCCCTGGTATGTTAATTCTCATGAAATGATTTCAACTTTATCATACCAAGTTTCATGCTCATGTAAGAATATGCAATGCAAGAGAAAAATGCAGAGCTGGGGATAAGAAAGAAAAAAAATCTGAAAATCTATGTTATTGGAGGAAAAGTACTATTAGTATTGATCTAAAACTGCTGAAATTAAAATGCTGCCATTAAACATAAAACATTCTATTCATTCTCTTTATTCTTCTATATGATGTCTTATCAAATAATTAAATAGGCTTCATTATACTCAATTGAACACTGAGGTCGCTAAGCCACAATAACATCCTCTTTTCAGAAACAATCCCTGGAAGCCTCCTTGGCAGAAACAGAAGGTCGCTACTGTGTGCAGCTCTCACAGATCCAGGCTCAGATCTCTGCTCTGGAGGAACAGCTGCAACAGATTCGAGCTGAAACCGAGTGCCAGAATACTGAATATCAACAACTCCTGGATATTAAGATCCGACTGGAGAATGAAATTCAAACCTATCGCAGCCTGCTAGAAGGAGAGGGAAGGTAAATTTGAAAATTCAGAAATCATCCGAATTACTTTTATCTCAATATTCCAGATAGCAAGGCTTATCCAAGCCCCAAGAAAATGCCAGAGAGTGAGAGGAAGGGGAGAGAAGGGAGGAGCCAGAGTACAGAAAAAGGAATATGGAACCGCAGTCGCGCTTTCTCATGAATTTGGCCCAAGAATGATTCTTAGGGTTGTGTGTATAAAAAATGCTTTTAAAGGATGGGTTTTAAAATGCATACTTCGCAGTGCTATATTTCCTCCAAACATGTCGCTTATTTTCTAAAGTAACAATAATCTGGAAAGCAACCCACTATTCTCCAGAGTTAGAGATAACAGAATATCACCCTCACCCCGTTTAGTTCCGGCGGCGGACGCGGCGGCGGAAGTTCCGGCGGCGGCTACTACGGCGGAAGTTCCGGCGGCGGCTACGGCGGCAGTTCTGGCGGCGGCCACAGCGGCAGTTCTGGCGGCGGCTACAGCGGCGGAAGCTCCGGCGGTGGAGGCCACGGCGGCAGCTCTGGCGGCGGCGGCGGCTACGGCGGCGGAAGCTCCAGCGGTGGAGGCCACAGCAGCAGTTCCGGCGGCGGCTACGGCGGCAGCAGCTCCGGCGGAGGCCACAAGTCCTCCTCTTCCGGTTCCGTTGGAGAGTCCTCCTCTAAGGGACCAAGGTCAGCAGAAACTAGCTGGGGTAATCGCAATTAGTTTTAACTTTCTATGACGGTGGTGTTGCTTTTAAAGCCCTAGAGCTGTTTAAAAAATTAAAATCTTAGAGATGGTTCCGTTTGCATTTGTTAGCAAACTGTACTGGACACCAATCTTGAACGAAAAATGCGTGGTCTAAATACAGTTCGTTAAACTTGCTTGGATTTATTTTTAACAATGTAAAAAAGTTGAATTTTCTTATTTTTTAGAATATTTTCTTGTTAATTAGTAAGGACTCCTACAAATTGCTTAGTCTAAATTATATCTTTTTCATTATTCACACAGATACTAACAAAACCAGAGTAATCAAGACAATTATTGAAGAGGTGGCACCTGATGGTAGAGTCCTTTCATCTATGGTTGAATCAGAAACAGAGAAACACTACTACTAAGCTGCATAAAGAGGAAAGAGTCTCCCTTCACACAGGCCATTACATACAGCTTCAAGGAAAACTAAGTCTCCAAGAAGACACATCAGTCTTAACGGTCTATGGGAACAGGTTCTCTCCTTGAAAATAAGGTGTCTAAAATGTGTTTTGTGCTTTCTGTATTTCTTCTTTTCACTTTGCCAGAAAGTGTTCTTTAATGAAAAAAAAAGAAACTTTCTGTGCTCATTTACTGATGAATTTCAATAAACTTTCTTACTGATGCAAACTATTCAAGTTTGTCAGAATTTATCTATACTTAAGTTAGATAATTTTTTAAAATAAAGATTAGCAAACTATAGCATTTGAAGGTTGACTTGTCCAAAAACTCTGAAGACAGAATTAGTGTCATGATTTTTCTGAGTAAGTTTTTAATCTTGTGGGTATGTTCAGACCATTGTCAGTCATCTGAGTAAAAAAAAAAATCCATGATTCGCCACTCTTACTTTTTCTTTGAGATACACAATACATGGAAAGCTCCCAGTTCTCTGGCTTTAAATTATTTCAATCCTGGAAATTTTGAAATAGCTCAAATAAGACCCCAAAAATAAAATTAATTGAAATTTTCACATTTTCTGATTCCTTGAATTCTCACATTTGCCTGCCATTATTTTATTCTGATTACTATATTACTTCTTCCCTATTGCTATATAGCTTAAGAAATACCTTCTAACACCAGCCCAGTAAAATCATAGCACCCCCAACAAAATTATTTGATATCTATCATGAACATGAAAAGCACTATCAGGACATAGTGATGCCATTGTGACTAAAGGGACACCACTAGGTCTCTGCCTTCCCCCAACCCTCCCCAGTGATCAGTACTGAAGACCTGGTACTTTCAGGGTCAGCCCAATCACATCTTTCAGCCAATAAGAACCCAGCTGACATTACTTAGTACTCTGCTAGGAGGCCCTATTTGGAAGGACAGCTGGAGTGCCTCTAAGACTACCTTGTATTCCCTGGTGAGTCCCTGGATTACCCATGTCCACCAAGTAGCAGCTTTCCTCAGTAACCTTGATTTGAGCTCCATTTTTCCTCAGGATCTGAGCCCTGGTCCACATGCCATTTGCTTGGCACTCTACTGGTTTAGACCCTACCCGCTACACCCCAAATTGGTGACAGGAGCCCTATAACAATGGGATGGACTTCCCTATAGTCAAGGCTCCATAACCTACTTGGTGCCAAATATTAGCACAGCCCAGAGGCTCTCCACTTTAGTTCACATGCTTCTTTCCATGTGGATATTTGTACCAGCCACCCATCTTGGGGGCCGGTCTTCTAAGGTCCCATATTAAAGTCCCAGCATGCCACATTGTAAAGCCCTGAAACAGAGGTATTGCTGGATAAGTACCCTGAGCTCCTACTGTGTTTATAGTGCTATACTGACTGCTGTTCAGAAATATCATCTTTTAAAATATTATCTAATAAAGCTAACCAAGTCCCCAAGATCTATTGTTCATAATCTGGGATGGCCATTATTCTTATTCTGAAGAAATAAATGTTTTCATATTTAATAACACTGATTCGAGAGAAATACAAGTATGTTATTGTGAGATAGCTGTGCTTGCTATTTAGCTTTGTCTCTTCTACTCATTCTGTCCTCCTTTCCCCAGCCAGGATCTCAGCTGGTCAGAGTTCTTTATCTGGTTGGGTGGTGACCCAAACTTTCATTTCTGAAAAGTCTGCATACACAGTGGTCCTGTTTTGCTACCTTTTCAATCTTCTAATACCTCCTTAAACATGTATTAATATATTAAATTCTCTCTCTCATAAAGTAACTATCTCTTATAAAGAACTGCTTTCTTGACTGGACTCTAATAACCATGGTTTAATAAAGATAACCTCTCTAAACAATTTGATTTTAACAAGGACATAGTATAAAAAATTAAAATTATAAAAAATGCAACATTTATTTTTCTGTTGCTGAGTTACTTCACTTAGGACAATGGCTTCCAGTTCCATCTAAGTCACAGCAAAAGACATTATTTCATTCTTTCTTATCTCTTAGTAGTAATCCATGGTGTGTGTGTGTGTGCGTATATATTATTATCCACTCATCAGTTGATGGGCAGTTAGGTTGATTCCGTATCTTTGCAATTGTGAATTGTGCTGTGATAAATATATGAGTGCAGGTATCTTTTTGATATAATGATTTCTTTTCCTCTGGTAGATATTCAGTAGTGGGATTGCAAGATTGGATGGTATATCTACTTTTAGTTCTTACAGAAGTCTCCATACTGATCTCCGTAGAGGTTGTACTAATTTACATTCCCACCAACAGCATATAAGTGTTCCTTTTTCCCACATCCACACCAACATCTATTGTTTTTTAACTTTTAATAATGGCCATTGTAATTGGAGTAAGATGGTATCTCATATTGCCACCAGCAATAAATAGGAGATCCAGTTTCTCTGCATCCTCATCAGCATTTGGTATTATCAGTATTTTTCTAATAAGTATGTAGTTATAGCTCACTGCAGTTTTAATTTGCATTTCCCTAATGGAAAATTATGCTGAATAGCTTTTCATGTGGCTATTTGCCATCTGCATCTCCTCTTTGGTGAAACTCTGTTCATGTCTTTTGATGATTAGGTTGCTTGTTTGTATTTTACTGTTGAGTTTTGGGAGTTTTTCCTAGATATAAGGCCTTTGTCAGACATGAGGTTTGCAAAGTATTCTACCAGTCTTTAGTTTCTCTTTTCATCTTCTTAGCAGAGTCTCACAGTCCTGAAGACCAGAAGTCTGAAATTAGGATGTTGGCAGGGTAGTAAGTGCTCCATAAATATCAAAAGGAAAGAGGGAGGAAGGGAAGACCAATAGCAGGAAAACAAAATATGACCAATAACTTACCTCTGGAAGATTTGGGCTTCCCAGACCAAGCCCAAATCCAAAGTTGTGAGTGAGTTTTATTGCTTCTGTTTTTAAAATAATGAATATTATAATGGTAATTAAATAAATTCTCAATGAGCCAATTATTTATAATAAAGAGATGAAAAATGCTACAAGTTCTATGCTTCTAGGCGAAGGACCCACTCTCTCTGTCCACTCGGCTACAGCTCCCATTGTGCTATTCTGCTCAGCTGAGTTTCTTTCTGGGTTTTTCTTTCCTTGTCTGTGTGTGATTTAAAGGCTTTTTTTTACTGAAAGTGAAAGTAAAAGTTTTTCGACTCTGTGGCAAAGGTTGCTTCAGTGTTATTTCTTTCTTTAATTTGTTTTCTCTCATATAATGGAAATAGGATGAAGCTCTTATAAGCTAGAATTTCTGAATAGCATTCTCAACAACATAATAAAAGCTTCAGACAGAACTAATCCTCCAAGCCTCAATTTGCTAATTTTCTAAGAGATGACAGAGATGAGCACAACAAAAATGCCACTTTCCATAGATGAAGAGATTAGTTCTTCATCTAATATTAATAGATGGATAGATGGATACTATCTCATCTGACTCTCCCTAAAGCAAGTCTCATAGTCTAATCCAGAGTTTATAAGAACAGCATGACCTGCCCTACAGGAATGTCATGAGGGCCTTGATTGTATTTGTTGAGACTCAGTTGAGAAATATGGATGTTTTGTTATTTTTACAACTATTTCAACATGCTAGGGTGATGGAAATGTTTATTTTAGAATGGCACCCAACTCTTTTTTTGGTGTAGCCATCTTCTGTACAAACTAAGAAAAACTCTTAGTTTTTCTTTTCAATATCTGTTCTTAAGAACTATAATCCATGTTCTTAGTCCGTTTTGTGCTGCTATAACAGAATACCTGAGACTGGACAATTTAAAATGAACAGAAATTTATTAACTCACAGTTCTGGGGGCTGGAAAATCCAGTATCAAGGCATCTGATATGGGCCTTCTTTCTGTGTCATAACATGGAAGGCATCAGATAGTGGAAGGACAAAGCCAGAATTAGAAAGAGAGAAAGAGAGGAAGAGAGAGCAAAAGGGGATGAGCCCACTCCTGCAATAAGGGTGGCATTAATCCATTCAGAGCCCTCTTGACCCAAATACCTCTTAAAGGTCCCACCTTCCAATATCATCACAACGACAATTAAATTTTAACATGAGTTTTGGAGAGGACAAGCATTCAAACTATAGAAGTCCCTAAGGTTCATTTCACCATTGGTGAATGCAGACAATAGAGAACACTACGCATCCCAACCTAAAGAATGTGCTTGCATCTGCTACCAACGAGAATGGTTAAGAATTCTCTCTCACACACGCAAGCCTTTGATCTGTATAATGGGCCACCTCCATGGGGTGAGAGAGCCAAAAAAAACAAAATGTTTTCTCATCCCCTTCCATCTCAAACTTTAAGAAATCTACTAGAACCAATAATCAAACTTAGCAAGAAATCAACTGAATTTCTAATATATCAGTAATGAATAATTGGAAATAAAAATTTCAAAAGCAGTACCATTTACCATAGCACCAAAAAACATGAATTATGTAGAATAAATCTAACAAAATATGTGTAAGACATGTATGCTAAAAACTACAGCACATTGGAAATCAAAGAAAACCAACATAAATAGATATACCATATTCATGTTTTGGTAGGCTCAATAGTGTTTAAGTGTTAATTCTTCCCACATTGATCCATAGAATCAATGCAATTCCAATCAAAATCTCAGCAGGATTCTCCATAGAAATTGATAAGCTGATTCTAAAATGTATATGGAAAAGTAAAAGAACTAGAAGAGCCAAAATATTTTTTTAAAAAAAGGACAAAATTTGAATGTTCACACTACTTGATTGCAAGACTTACTCTGAAGCTAAAGTAATTGAGACAGTGTGGTATAAATGTGGTATCAGTGTGGAAAAGAATAGAGAGTCCAGAAATAAATCCATACATATTCTCAATTGATTTCCAACAAGGTTTCAAGGCATTTCATTAGAAAAATGAAAGTTTTTCAACAAATGATGCTGGAATAATTGGGTGTCCATATGAATTTTAAAAAAAAGATTAAAGAACCTCAACTCAGACTTCAAAGCACATAAGAAGATTAATTAAAAATGGTTTATAGAACTAAATGTAAGAGCTAAAACTATAAAACTTCTATAAAAATAAAACAAGAAAAAAATCTGAGTGACTTCAAATTAGGCAAAAATTTCTAAGATGTCTTAGACAACACACAAAACACACAAACTATACAATTTAAAAATCAAGGCCAGGCGTGGTGGTTCATGCCTGTAATCCTAGCACTCTGGGAGGCCAAGGCAGGAGGAT